TGGCATGATCAAAAAAGAATTCTCTCCTCTCTACAATTTGCTGATAGAAAGTTGCCTAGTGTCCTTGTTCACTACTTTTTTGGCCCCTTCAGGTAGAGTTTGGGGTATGAGAAGCATAGAGAGCAGTAGAAGAAATATTTTCTGTTACTCTTTGAATATTAAAGATTTTTCTTTTCCTCCTTTTGATCTTACAAATCATGCATGCTATAATAGAACCACTAGACTGAAAATTAAGGGATTTGAGTTCTTATACTTTTTTTAAAAATGACTAGGTGGTGGGGCAGCTGGGTGGTGCAGTGGATAGAGCACTGGCTCTGAAGTCAAGACGACCTGAGTTCAAATCCAGCCTCAGACACATAACACTTTCGTAGCTGTGTGACTCTGGGCAAGTTACTTAACCCCAATTGCCTCACCAAAAAAAGAAAATGACTAGGTTGCTTAGGGAAAGTTACCAGACTTCTCTTTGCTTTTGTTTCCTAAACAATAAAATCTAGAGGTTGGATTGAGCTATTTCCAAGGTTTGTTTTGCCTCAATTTTTTTACCCAAACTTGACACATTCAATTTATCCAGATTTATTTGCCTCATTGCAATTATTGCATGCTTGTACTTATCTTCTTTCCAGTTCCCCACACTTTATCTGTACCATTCCTCTGCCAATGGATGAGGTTCTGAACACAGTTTTCAAAAGCAATAATGGAAAATAAAGCTTTGATTTGCTTTCATGTGGCTATATATTTGGAATAAGTACCTGGGCTTTTTTACTTGTCCCTTAATGGTGCAAAATTGGTGATTTCTGCTACAAGAACAATTTCCTTTTTTTCTTGAAGTTTTTTTAATATAAAGAAAAGTAATAGACTAAAAAGGGTATGAAATTTCTGTTTAGAGTTTTTAAAACTTCAGAATTCTGTTTTCTCCACACCAAAAATTCTTCGAAGGTAAAAGTGACATAAAAAACCAAAAGGGAACTGAATTCATGCTAAACATATTGAAAATAAAAGTAGAGAAAGGGGTTTCCCCTCTCTCTGGTCAAGTGAAAGAAATTCAGTTTAGGGAAGCCCAATACAGTGACTTCAGCAACTCAGGGTATCCACAGAAGTTAAAAAATATAAGGACATGATGTCAAGACTGGAGACTTGGCAAGCATAAAAGCTATATTTAGGGACTGGAAAAGACAGCCAAGGGGGACACTATAGACTTTGAAGGAAATGAAAAATGAATATATCTGTACATAATTACAATCTAAGGGCATACCAAAGTAGACTTCATGGATACCCTAAAACATTAATAGCACCCTGAGTGTCCCACATGTTAGGAAGTCTTGAAGGAACACAGAAGGTACTCAAAATCCCTGCCTTATTCTGCCCCATGAAAAGAGTAAAAACCTTCTACTACCCAATCTCATTATATATAAAATTGTTCTTCTATCACTGGAGATGGTTTTTCACCAATCTGACTTTGGGGAAAAATTACTTCTCACTTAGGTTAATAGACATAAATCACAGAATCATAAGACAAAGCAAGGAGGGAAGGTAGAAATCATTCCAGTTGAATCATTGAGTTCTCAAAATAAATGACATACTCTGTTGTTTTCTTAGGTTCAATTCAAGAAACATCTATTGAGTGCCTATTAATTGGGGGGCATTTTCCAGTATTTTCCTTCATTAAACTCTGAACTCTTTGACTTCTGCCTTTCTTTGAATCCCCTGTGCTTAGTACAGTGCTTGGTACAAAGAATACTTGCTGACTGACTTGATATCTGAAAATGAAGATGAAAAATACCAAAGTCCTTATAATTGGGTGGGTTTATTTTTCAGTACAGGAATGACATATATACACAAATAAAAGCAATATGAACTAAAAATGAATGTGAATAGAAGAGCCCCAAAAAGGAAGAATTAGATTTCATTTCTTGACTATAGGATCAAGCAAGGCAACATGAAGGAGATCAACCTTGAATTAGACCTTGAAGAAAGAGGAAGATGCCAATAGACAGAAATAGGGAGCAGTGGTGCATAATAGACATGAACAAATACATGAAAAAAGAGATGGCAGCAGGAGACCAAGGAATAAGTACTTGAATTGAACTGGAATATTTAGTACATGAAGAGAAAAAAAAGATTACTATAATTACTGAGAAACCTTGAGAAAGTCACTTAACATTTCTGAGATTTTGTTTCTTCTTTGTCAAATACATTTTTAAAATACTGAAAGGAGAACAGGGGTCTGGTTAGAGAAATATTGTGGAAGTAGAATTGACAAAGTTTGTCATCCGATTGCATTTGTTGTCTGAGAGACTGGGGAAGAATCAAGCATGACTTGAAGTTTTGAACTTCAGTAACTAGGAGGATTTTTTAAAAGACATAAGGAAGATTAGGTTTGATTTTTTAATAGACTCTAGAGGTTATCTAATCCAAAGTACAAATTTTACAGATGAAGAAAAATTAGCCAAGGGAAGTTAAGTGACTTGCGTAAGGTAACACAGAGAGTAAGCAGACAGAGCTAGGATTTGAACCCAAGTTGTCTAACTCTAAATCCAGTGATTTATTCCCTGTATCACTGCCTCTCATTTAGAAGTTAAGACAAAGAGTTCTGTTTGGGAGATATTGATGTGGGGATGCTTTGATACAACCAGAAAGATCTCTCTATTACTCAGCTGACAATGTCCCACTGGAGTTCAAGAGAGATCAAGATTGGAAAACTAGTCTTGAGATCATCAACAGAAAGATAATACCATAAGCCAAGAGCTAATGAGATTTTTAGTGAAACAAATATAGAGACAGAAGAGGAGAAGGCCCAAGAAAAAGCCCTGTGGAACACCCATACTTTGGAGCAGGAAATGAATGATAATCTAGTAAAGGAGACTAAGATGTCAAATAGGAGAAATAATAATGATAATAAATGTAATTAATAAAAAAGCATTTATTAGACAATGACGTGATGCCAAAAATTGGGCTAAGTGTTGAGGATACTATTACTAAGCTAAAGAGAGTCTCTATCATAAAGCAATTTGCATTCTTTATTAAAAATTTATTGACATATTTCATTTTTACATCACCTGCATTTCCCACTCTATCCTTCTCACTAACTCCTCCTAGAGAGTGAGCCCTTGTAATAAAGAAAAATCAGCAAAATTAGACCAATGTATTGAAAAAGTGTGATATTATGCACAGTGTTATATACACTTTGTCTCCTACCCCTGCAAAGAAATGGGGGAAGTATTTTTTGATATAAACTCTGAGGGACCAAGTTTGGTCATTATAATTTTGTAGCTTTCATTTTTTGCTGTTTTCTTGGGGTGGTGGTTGTTTTTCCTATTTATGTTGTGGTAGTCATTGAGTATATTGTTTTCCTGGCTTTGCATTCTTTACTTGAGTCAATTCATCCTTTTTTCTTTGCTTCTCTGTAGTCATCATGCTAACTCTCAGTGTGACCTTGATCTTCCCTGGGCCTTACATGTGCAAAACAAAGGTGCCAAGTCTGATGGCACACACCTGCCATCTAGGCTACTAGGACATATGAGAGTGATGGATCTCTTGAGTTTGAGAGCTCAGAGCTTCTGTGGAATAATCTGATCTACAGAGTTTGGCATTAATGTAGAGAGCCTCTGAAACCAGGTTGTCCAAGGAGGTGTAAAGCATTCATATTGGAAATAGAGCACATCAGGGCTTCCATGCAAATCAGAAAGGGACCAGAACCATGGGAGCCACTGAATTTCCAGTCAGAGAGAATAAAAGATCTAAACCTTTAAATAAATAAATGGATTGATAGATGAATCAATAATTAGAAAATAGTTGGTAGCTATATAAAAAATAAGTACATAAATGAATGAGTGAATGTAAAAATTGATGAATCAATGATTAAACAAATTAATAAAGCATTGATAAATGAATGAACAAAGAAATAAGTAAGCAAACAAACAAATAAATTGGTGAATGAATGAATAAGTAAGTAGGATGAGAATATTTAACTAGAGGAATTTTAAGGACCCTTCCAACTCTCTATATCAGATCATGATATCAATTCTTACAATATAGTAATATTCCATTACTTTCATATACTACTAGCTAACCGACATGACTGATGAGTAGATGGTAGGGCAGTGAAGTGAAATATTATTGGATGTAGGCCATAGTTGGAGTAAATAAATTGAAGCAACCATCATTCAGGACATCTAGGTTACATGTTGTGAATTCTGGGGATGAAAAGGTTATGTTCTCCAGAAAATAGTTTCTCATCTGATTGGCAATAGGATTAGTGAAAAGGTGCCCAGGGAGTAAAGTAAAGAGAGTAGTATCTTTGAAACCAAAGGAGATCAATAGGTGATGAAGACCTAAGTGCTTATGGGGGCAATGAAGACAATCTAGAGAGGACAAAAGCAAGAAACATTTCAGCAATAAAATCGATTCCCCTTGGCAAATGACTGTATGAGCAGCTAAGTGACACAATGAATAGAGTGCAGGGTCTGAAGTCAGGCAGACACATCTTCCTGAGTTCAAATCTGGCCTTAGACACTTACTAGTAGTGTGATCCTGGACAAGTCACATAACCTTGTTTGCTTCAGTTTCACCATCTGTAAAATGAGCTGGAGTAGGAAATGGCAAACCATTTCAATATCTTCACTAAGAAAATCTCAAATGAGATCATGAATAGTCAGACATGACTGAACAATAGAAACATAATGTGCACTATAAGAGAGTGAGTTTTAAAAAAAAAGTAAAACAGGATAGCTGACCACAAAGAACTTAATCTGTAAACTCTAAGAGAAAATTTTGTTTCACTTCTACAAATTTTACAAAGATGGGATCATAACAACATTTTCTAAGACCAAAAGTAAGTTAAAGAAAGTAGAAAGTAAAGGGAAATCCCATGCTAAAAAGTGAAAATTACATTCAGCACTATTTAAGAGAGAGTTGCCTGGAGGCCAGATAACCTGAGAAGCTGAGACAAAGGTTCATTGATCTCCCAGCTCAGTCAGCCCCAAACTATCTTTAGTATCACCATGACCTTCTGGAGCTTGTTGCCAGTTGCCCTGGTGCTGCTCTGCTCCAGCACCCTCTGCTCCCTGGGCTGTGACTTGACTCTGGGTCTCCAGGAAGACTTCTCACTTCTGAACCAAATGAGTACATTTTCCCTGGTGCCATGCCTGAAGGACAGGACCAACTTCAACTTCCCAAAGGAAGCCATGGAAGGCAGCCAGCTCCAGAAGGAAGATGCCAAAATCATTGTTCATGAGATGCTCCAACAGATCTTCACCCTCTTTGGGCAGAATGCTTCTCCTGCTGCCTGGAATCAGACCCAGCTTATGCAACTGCTCATTGGACTGGATCAACAGATGGAGAAACTGGAGAGGTGTCTTGCACAGGATGTGGATTGGGAAGAGCCTTCCTTGGGAAGTGGGAATCCCATACTGGCCCTGAAGAACTACTTCAGAGGGATAAGCCAGTACTTGCAGGGCAAAGAGTATAGCCATTGTGCTTGGGAAATCATCCGAATAGAGATTCGGAGATGCTTTCTGTTTATGAGCAAAGTTGCAAGAAAATTCAGGGACTGAAGAAGAAGAAATAAGCTCTCAGTTCCTCAAATAATTGACTGCTTCCTTAAAACTAAACATTCAATCATTAGAAATCATCGTTTCCACAGCAACTAAAAAACATTTGTATTGACTGAATTATTTAAGAACATAAACTGCTATTCATGAACTGAAAGGGGGTTTTAGTATAGAGAATTCTCACCTGTTCTTAATACCTGAACATTTTTATAATTCTTATTTATTTATTTATTTGCTTTTGTTATTTATTCTAACCAGTATTTTTTTATATTTATTTTTCATGGGGGGGGGGACAAGGTTGGTTTTATGATATTTATATTAAGCCTATTGTAATCTTTTAAAGAACAACATTTTATTAATAAAACTATTTTGCTAATAAACCTCATGTGAAAAGTTTTATTTAATATCCCAAAAGAATTCAAAGAAACTTATTTCCAAGAGTGCAATTCAACAAACTATATAAAACACACGCTGAGTTCAACTCACTGTACTATTTACTGGATATATCAAAATGTAAACTAACAGTTGCTGCCTTCAGAAGGGATACACTACCACTAGTGAATAAATAAATAAGGGTGTTCAAAGTTAGGATGTCTTAGAGACAAAAGTGTACTGTTGATGGAACAACCATTTTTTAAAAGCCTTTTTGGATTATGCAAATAAAGTACATAAAATAGCCAAAACTTCTGACCCAGACATTCCATTAATGGGCTTATGCTCCAATGAGGATATCAGTAAGAAGAAAGTGTGCATATAAACCAAAAATATTTATGGCATGACTTTTTGACGTAGCAAATATTAGAAACAAAATAGCTGCCCATTGATTGGGGTATAGATTAAAAAATTGTGTTACATGAATGTAATGGAAGATTACTTTGCTATAAGAAAAGGTGAATGTGATGAATACAGAGAAGCATGAAAAGATTTACGTGAATTGATGAAAAATGAAGTAAGCAGAGCCAAGAAAACAATAACCACAATAATGACAAAGTAAACAGAAAGATTGCACACACGTCAAAGCTGAATGTTGCAGAATATAAGGAACACTCATGAAGATTGAAGAGGAGAATGAAAAGTCTACCTGTGTAGTCTTTGGAGACCAAAAAGTGTTGCACATTGTAAATATTTTCAGATTTTTCATTATATTGATCATTTCTGCTGATTTTTTTCTCTTGTTTTTTAGTTTTTTCTTTAAAAAATTATTTGTTATATAACATGTTTCTAGAGGAAAGGGATGGAGAGGGATACTGGGGGGAGTTATAATTTCCAAGAATGCAATTCAACAAACATATATTAAGCACATAGTAAGTTCAATTTACTGTGCTACTTACTGGCTATATTTTAAAGATAAAACACATCAATAAAATCTCTAAAGACAAAAAAAGAGTAGGTTGGAGCAAGATGGTGGAGAAAAGGCAAGGACTCACCTGAGCTCTCCCAAACTCCCTGTCAAACAACTTTAAATAATGCCTAGAAATGAATTCTAGAACCACAGAAACCACAAAAGGATGAAATGAAACAATTTTCCAGAACAAGAAAATTTAGGTCAGCAGGAAAAGTCTGTCACATTGGGGTGAGAGTGGAGCACAATTCAGGCCCTGGCCCAGCAAACCAGCAGCAGTCCTTGGGGGTGATTGAATCAGCAGCAGCAGCATGGCTTCCAAAGCTCTCAGCCCAGAGACAGTAAGGGGGGG